GCTGGGGGGGGGGAGGGGGTTTAGAAGAACAATTAAAGCCACCAACTAATAATGACTACCAGACAGCATGTCATCTTATGTTACACAAGTAACACTTGAAAACTTGTCACCTTTCTCAGTATGACATAGTACACAAAATATAGTGAGCAAGACCCATGAGAAATTAAATATTAACTCCGCAGATTTTGTTTTTGTGTTTTTACAAATTTTAGTTATAGGAATGATTCTACTATCCAAATCATTTATTTTACAGGGGTAATATTATACACAAACACAGAAAACAACAACAGATTCCCAGGTTCTTTGAATGGTGCCACCTTCAGTCACAAAAATATTCCATATACGCTGTCCAGAAATCACCGAATCTTGCTCTCAATACTTCCAATTAGAGAATAGTGAGGTACAACTTAGGCAAGAGCCAAAAGACTAAAGCAAGATAAATCATCTTACTTATGAGCAATCTGCTTTTGTCAAAACATCAAATGACTCAGACACCTGACTAAACTAGTTAAGTGTATTGATTAGTATAGGTATATGAAATAACTTCTAAGGGCATTCTAGAACTTTTAAATGTGACCATAAGCTTTGGGGTATGAACAATGGAAGCCGATGATAATTTACTGCTCTAGCAGAAGTCTTGCTTGGTGAACTTTTAATCACTGCTTCCATATATGCCCATAACCAAAAATATGCTTACCTTCTTTAAAGCATCCTGTATCACACCAGACTTCTCCTTTAGCATGTCTACAACACAAAGGGCTTCATCTTCAGAAAATACCATAGTTTTCAAGGACAGAAGAAAATCTTTAAATTTCATTTCAGCATTTTCTAAAAATCAAAAACAAAACATAACAAACTTGGCATTTAAAAGACACAATAACTTGAACAAAGTAAGCATCAAGAATTCTTAACCCAGAAAATCAATAACCAAGACAAAACAGACTTACACTGCAGGTCAAACAAAAATAAATACTCCAGTTAAGAGAGAGAAAAGTGTTTATTATCTTTAATGTAATATGAAATAATTACATTAACTGAAAATTTGCTCAAAATGTCCAATACTAAAGTGCCAATACGCCCTCACTTTAAAAACAAAAAATCATTCAAGTCTCTAGTATGTGATAGTATCTATACTAGATATGTTCACAAATATTCTCACTTAACCTTAATACTTGTGACATATAAACCAAATTTTACAGATGAGAAAATAAGCTCAAAGATATTAAAAAGGAAATCTGATTTTTCAAAGATCAAATACATAAAAGCAATGACGATATTTTTAAAAATCCACACATCAGACATCTGACTCACCCACTGCAATTCTTCGAGTGCTCTCACATTAGGCATCAACTTACTCTTCCTAAAAGCATTTGCCACCCATTAGACCCAAAAAAGCCCAGGGCTTTTAATATTTCAGCTACATTATAAGTTTAAAAAGGCATTGTGTACTTGTGTGGGAATAATGGGTATGTGAGAACTCTCTGTATTTTTCCACTCAAGTTTGCTGTGAACCTAAAACTGCTCTAAAAAAATTAGTCTATTAAGAGATTAACCAAAGAACTTATATACATATACACATAACCCATGGACACATACAATAATGAGATGAAGGCCTGGGGGGGGAAGGGAAGGGGGGAAGGGGAACAACTGTAATACTTTCAACAATAAAGATAAATTTAAAATAATAATAATAATAATAATGATTAAAAAAAGGCAATTGTGAATGAGCATAGAAATCTTGCAGAAGACAATCATAGAAGGGAAAAGATCACCAGACACCAAAATAGCTGTGAGACCTTGTCAGTGTTCAGCTCGACAAAACTGAGAAGGCTTGACTACAAAACTACCAATAAATCCTTTACTACAGTATTCTATTAGTTTTTGCAATTCACTGTTTCTATGAGAAAATGTGCTCAACTCCATAAGAAATCAAAAAAAAAATTTTTTTTTTTTTTTTTTTCACTAAAATAGATTGCCACATTCTGTATGTTACCTTTGTCAGTTTCCATCCTCAGTTTTTTAGCCCCCATTTTCTGGATTCCTTCTACTTGGTCAGGTTTAATCAGATCAATAACCTCTCTCTTATCCACCATAGAACTTGAGTCCGCATTATCCATCAAAGGAATATAAGTAGTTGCATGAATAAGGGGTTCATCTACCAAGACTGCAATTTAAATTGAACAAAGCTATTACTCAGTATTTTTTATAACAGTAATTAAATAACACACAAGCACTTTTAAGTTTAATGATACAGTTATTTTCAAATATCTAATACTATCTAAATTTGGCTTTAAATTCCTATTTTATCATTGAAGGAGTCAAAACACAGTACCAGTTCAGTATTATTTCATAGTACAGCGAGCATTTAATCATCTAAAAATTTTCAGCATAACTCTCCTTGCTAATAGTATCTGAAATTTTCTTCTTATACTTCCTTTACATTTTAGTTAGTTCTCGTTTTTCTCCTGTTTTAAGTAAAAATCCATTCACATTTAATTACTACTCAAGAAAAACTTAATTTTTCTTTATGTTGGTCCTTTACTGAATGCAACTGATAATTTTTAATTGAGTTCCTTCACTTGCTACGTACAAAAATCAGTCATTGTTCCTTGCAGATATCTTCTCACTTCTAATAGTTATGCCTCTAATTTCTGTGGCACATCTTACTACACTGGTTAAAACGTCCAGAACAACACTAAAAGTGGAAGAAGGAAGCCTCCTTATTTTGTATCTAATTTTAATGGGAAGAACTGTAAGAGTATGAGCATTAAAGTCTATGTAGAAATCTCTCTATATTCCTACCTTTTTGAAAAAACTTCTGGGCATGCATAGTTGTTTTATTTAAAACATATTATTTAGTGTTATCAAATATTTTTGTGTAATATTTTTCTATACCTGATTGCCTGATATGCTGTAATTCTAATGCAAATAATAAAATTTCATTTTTTCCTTTTCCAATTTTACTATTTTGTAGCACTACTTGATAACAGCCCATTAATATTTGAAAATCACTGTTTAAACTACATAAATTTCATACTGAAGTTTCTCCTGGATAATTCTGAATGTATAAAAATTGCACCACCACTTTTAATTGGATGCTTCCCATATAAACATGCAAATTACATTCAGGAAATAATTGGGAATGTAGAGTAATGACAGATCAAGCTAATGTCCTCAAGCATAATCCTTAAGTGATATTAAAAAGTATAACTATTTCAGGAATACATTTCTTCTATAGAGTTTGTATGCTATTTACATTATTTTCAAAACTTAGTTAAGGAGATTTATATTTAAATTTCAAATACTTCATCATCACAAACTTATAACCTGCCCATCTGTCAAAGTACTACAAAGCCACAAGGCTAAAGAGAAATCTGGACTTGCAATAGTATTAAAGCTATTGATAGCATACATTCAGCAGGAAATTATAAAGTATATGAGGTCTCTAGGGTCCTTATCATAGTGTACTTCTCTAAAATTAGCATTCATAAAATACATATCTACACATTTCACCATTTTCTGTCTTCTGCTTCTTTGAAGAAACTTTCTTCTTCCCTGATCCACTTTCTTGTTTAGTCTCTTGGTGGAAGGGTAATGATTCTTGCTTTTTTGAAGGTGCCATAAGAGTTTCCACCTTTTTATCCTGATCATCTTTATTAAAAATAAATGAAAATAATGGCATCAGAAAAGATAACAATTATTAATAAAGAATTCCCAGAATGCTTTACCACCCAAATTTTAAGCTCTGATATATAACTTTCACTAGTAACTTGTCATTGTAGCTTTCTGACTCTGCTACACCTGTTCTTTAACTTCATCAAGAATTCTAGTACTTGCTCCTTCTTTTATATCCCATTTTTCAGCCATTCCTAATCTACCATTTCTTCTGTGACTACTATAGCTCAGTCCCTCAACTTAACTTTGGAATGATAACCTCTTCACCAGTCTGTCTGTCAAATACTGCCCCATGTAATGTGTACTCCCAAGTTCTGCCAAAGATATCATTCTAAAAGATAAATCTGACCATGCAAACTAACCTGCTTGAAAATCTTCAACAATGGCTAAACTATAGCATCACATCTCCTTAGCACTATATAGAAAAGCCATCATGATCTAACCACTGCGTATCTTTTTAGCTTTGTTTCCTACCACTCTCTACACATCATATTTCATGGTTCAACAATACACTGCACTTTTTTTTTTGTTTTGTTAATTCTCACCCAAGGATATTTTTTCCACTGATTTTAGACAGAGTGGACAGGGGGGAGCATCAATGTGAGAGAGACACATCAACTGGCTGCCTCCCCACACACCCTGACCGGGGCTGGGGAATCAAACCTGCAACCCAGGTATGTACCCTCGACAGCGAATTGAACATGTGACCCTTCCGTGCCCAAGTGGATGCTCTAAGCACTGAGTCACACCTGCCAGGGCAATACGCTGTATTCTTATATCTTTGTGCCTTTACACATGATATTCTGCCAATATGGGATGAGACTCCACTATTTTCTTGGTGACATGATTCACTGTGAAAGACCCAGCTTAGGTACTCCCTCCTCTGTAAAGATTTTTGCCCCTTGTCCCCAATAAGTAGTAGTTGTTTAGGCCTCTGTACTTCTATACTTTACACATCTCTTACTGGCTTACGTGTCCTTCTCCCCTCTTCTTGTAATACCCTATTCCCATCCCTTCCCAGACACCAAATAAACTAGCTAGTATTTACTCAACCTTTTAATTTGTCATTATACGAGCTAATTGGCCAATTTAGAAGTCCTACACTGGTTTAGATATACATAGATTATACAAAACTTTTTCTTTTATAATATTTATGTTTGTGTCTACAGCTAGCATGTGAATACCTTGAAAATGCACTATTCATCTCTGTATAATTCCTACCATAAAACAGATGTCTACTAAATGTTTGTAAAATCAATCAAGAGTGATTATCTTTTCCTCTTTAATTCTTATCACACTAATTAGAAAGTACTGTTTGAAATAAATGTAAAAGTTTCTAATTGCTGGTACTTAGAGGTCCCTACTGGTGTTAGTAAAACAGTTTGACTTTATATATTCCTATTAAAAGTCTTTCCAATATTTGTAAAATTAAGTTTAATTTTAAATGCTGTTTTCTGATCAATACTAGTTATTTCTATCAGCAATTAATGTTAATGAAAGCAAACACACAGTAAAAAGGATAATGATTTTCGTTTCAGACTCAGCATTTAACATTTGTGTACACATCTAATAAGTATCTCAATTTCAAGCTCTAAAATTATTAAAATAAATACAATCATCCAATAAAGTTAAATAGATTATAATACCGCTTCCATTTTTAGACTTCTTCTGCCCTGGTTTCTTCTTTGAGGCAGTTGCTTCAGAAGGGGGGGTGGGCTGTTTAGTAACTGGGACAGGTTCTACTTTTTTGCTTGGAATCTTTGATACATCACTTTCTTTGGTGACCTGCTCTTCTAGTGCAGGTTTGTGTTTCTTCTCCTTCTTTTTTCTTTCTCTAACACTACTAGAAGTTTCAACCACATTCAGTGGAACAGGTACTAGTTGCTCATCTTCTACAGCCAAGGCATCAGATAATTTAAAGTCCTGGGGTACATTCTCAGAATCGGATTCATGGAGGTTCCCATTCTGGATTTCTTTCTTTTTATTCTTTTTCTTTTCTGCCTTCTTTTTATCTGTTTTAGTAGGAATAAGCTTTTGTTCTCTTTTCTGTTTTGCAAGAACTTCATCATATAATGTTTCTTTCATGAAAAGCCAGAAGAAGAGAAAAATTGCTGTAATAACTACTGAAGGAATAAGAACAATAAAATACGTTGACTCATAAAACTCCATCATGCTTTTGTTAATGTGACCCTATAAAACCTAAATGGGAAAGAAAAAAAATTTAGTCAGTCTTATAAAAATTAAACATACAAAACCTCTGTTCTTTCAAGTGTTATTTCAGATCTAACGTGATCTATAAATCTAACCAAGTTAATTGTTTACATCACGTGCTTGGTTACTTTGCCAACTATAATTCAAATACACTATGAAAGAAAAATGTGTGGTAATTAGAAAGTGTTACACATCCTTCCATTTTTCAATCATATGAAAAGATCCTAATAGAAGGAAAAAAACTTAAAACATCCATTTTTCCCCTAAATATCCACTTCTGAGACTTTATTAATATTTAACTTTTCTTTTATTGTACAATGTTCATGAATACTACTATATGTGGAAATAAAGCGGCATTAACTATTACCAACACACTAGATATTCACTAAAAGTACCACACTGTTAATGACAAAAGAGAGGTGGTTCATTCCTTCATTTAGAGAGTTGAGGCCATTCATAAACTGCTAGCACCTTTATTCTAGTGACTAACAGCCTCATGATATGGTGGGATACATCAAAGATATGGAAATATAATAAAGTCAAAATCAAAATGTTAGGATGTATTATTTAGCATTAAAATAATTACAAATTAGATGCTTTGCTTATCTTGATTTTTTCAAGGTACCCTTTACTGCAAACAAGTTACACCGCAAACAAGTTATACTGCAAAAACAGAACTGGCCGTCACTATTCTTCCCACCTGCTAAAGGAGACTTTGCCTCCTCAACAGAATATCAGCCCTAGTTTTAGATTAACCCAATAGCTACAGAAAATAAGTGTTATCTGACTACCCAGTCTGCCTTGAATTATATCCCTCATCTGAAGGATAGTTTCAGCTAAAATTAAACATCAAATTAAGAATGATATTTAGATTCTAGATGCTGATACTCCTATAAACATGCATAAGCCACATAAAAGTGGCTTGTATTCTTATAACTCATCTCAAATTTGTTGTGGAAGAAGGCAAAGTAAATAATGCAGGTGAAATTAAACTCCAAGTCATGCTTAAGATAAAGTAATTCAAGTCAACTTTTGCAATTTTAATGTACAAATAAATCTGAGAATTTTAAAAGTTTTTAAATTTTCAGTCTGAAGTCTTAAAAACAGGTAATGATTGAAGAAACCAAATTCTACCTAAACAGAAGAATCATTATTCTAAGAATTAGAATTATTTATTTATTATCTCCTTTAAAGTTAGATAACTTTTTGTTTGTTTTAACATTACCATCCATAGGTTACACAGCCTGTTCAACTTGGATATATCCTGAGCAAAAATAAACTTTAAGACTGATCAATAGCAATTTAATGAAGCACTAAAATGAAGTTGAATCTTGACTTTTAATGCACATTTTGCCTTGGCTCCAAGGACCTCTCCTTACATGACTTTAAGGTCCAAACTACTTGCATGATCTTGGAAATGCTAAGCCAAAAAACATAAGGGGTCCCAAGCTGATGGTGCCCATAGTGCATGTGGCAAAAGCAAATGCACATTCTCTTTGGTGGAATGCTCCTTAAAGCCTAGCTCCTCAAGATTTCCAAAGACTGTCATGCAGATAAGATCCCATAACCCAAAATGAAAGAATATGATAAGCCACCATGAGCAAGAGGCAACAGAAACAAAGGAATTAGAACCCTAAAGATTTAAGATACTGAAATTAATATACACACCAAGAGATGAGAATTGGAAAAATGAGTCAAGAACAAACTATCAAAAGTGGGTAGATGTGAATCAACTAGGACTTCTACAAATAAATATAATCAAAATTTAAAATCCAATGAATAGGTTAATAAATGCAAGGAGACCTATTAAAATGACTGTTTCAATAGGCCAAATCTGATGAGAGTGAATGAAATCAATGCAGAAAGATACCTGGGTGGAATAGAACAAGGCAACTATTAGAGCATAGCGAAAATGAGGGAGGAGTCTGAGACAACTACATTTCTAACTTGGAAGAGTCCTTATATGATGAAACCAAGATCAAGAATATAGGAATAGGTTCATGTCAGAGTTTCAGATGTGACTTTGAAGAATGTAAGTACAAGCAACTAGATATCAGCAGTCAACTGAGTAGACAAAATCAGCAGTAAAAAGCTACTATAGGTTATATATCAGGGAAGCAAAGGAGCCACTTTCTGAAAAGTCCAATTTTGCCTCCACCCTACTATCAAATCTAAAAAACGCTGCCTTGTCCTTTGCATTTAATCTTCACTTATCCTTCAAAACCCAGCTCAAATCATCTCTCTGAAAATATCAACTACTGTCTTCTACAACAGTCTATTATTCACTTATTCATAGTTATTTAGCACCAACTGTATGTCAGCACTGTTTTCTAGGGTGTCCTAAAGAAACAGCAGTAAGAAGGGCCGAAATTCCTGCTTTTATGGGCTAACATTCCACTGAAGGGAAGACAGGCCAGCAATCAATATACAGTATATGAGACAGGAACGTATATGGCATTATCTGAGCAAGAACCATAAGGACAATGTGGTTCAAGTATAATGAACAAGACAAAAAGTAGAAGATGAGGTTAAAGAGATGATTTGATGGGGGCAGGGAGCATTGAACAAATCATATAGTTCCTTACAAGCAAGTGGAAGGACTGTGGCTTGTACCCTAAGTAATATGAGAAACCAGTAGAGGGTTCTGAGCAGAAGAGGGTATAGGGAGGTGAAAGCAGAGAAAATCGTTAGGAGACAACTAAAATACTCTGGGAAAGAGATGATTAAAGTGAGTTGGTAACAAGGATCGTAGTAAGTAGTAGTCAAATTCTGGATACATTATGAAGGTAGAGGAGACAAGATGATTTGCTGAGGACTAGAATGTGGGAGTACAAAGCAAAGACAAGACAACTCCAAAACTTTTAGTCTAAGCCAAAAACAAAAAATTGCCCTTTACTGAAATGGAAGAAATGTGGAAAGGACATGGTTGGGGTTGAAGACCAGGAGTTAGGTTTTAGACAAGTGGAGATGTTCAGTAGACAGCTAAACAAGACAGTGCTTAGACACACATAGGCTGGAGATATAAATTTAGGAGCATTCAGCACATTAATTCTACTTAAAGCCATAAGCTTGAATACAATAATCAACAGAATGGGTATAAATAGAGCCCAGGTCTCAAGACTGAGCCCCTGGGCAATTCAACAGAAAGATAAAGAGGAACTTAAAAAAGAGACTGAGAAGGAGAGGGAGAAAGAAAATAAGGAGCATGTTGCCCTGGTTGCTAAATGAATAAAGTGTATCAAGGAGAGATTGATCAATTTTGTCAAATGGTGTTGGTAAATAAAGTACAGTTAAAAAAAACTAGGCACTGACTGCTGGATTTAGCAACGTAGACACTACTGGTGACCTTGACCAAGGTGGTGGTGATAAAATCCTGATTGAAACGAATTTAAAAACAAGCTGTCCAGCAGGTATGGACAACTCTTTGGAGGAAGATTTCCTGTGAAGGCATGAGAAATTAAATGGAAGCTGGGGGGGAATATGAGATTGAGAGTTTGACTTTTAAAGATGGGAGAAAATTCTTGTCTCTGAAGAAAAACATCACCCCCTTTCAGCAGGAAGTAATTATAGAAGAGACTCTGCGTGTGCCCCTTTTCTCAGAATTCAGAGCCAAGATCCTCAAAGGAGGATGTGACAGGCAGTTAGACAGACCTGAGCAGACAAGGACAATGGGCCAAGTACAGAAGGTTACTAGGATGGAAAGCCCTGGATGCAAAACAAAGGATAATTGTAGGTGGGACCTCGCCCCCAGGGTCGCCTTTCCTCCTCTAGCATATCACTGGTCCTGTGGTTTGGACCCCCTGACTTTTCCTCCCTAAAGATAACATCTAGGCCACAGTTGTGTTTCAGCTCCAGGCCCAGAAGAGCAACAAAACAACTCACAGCAGACATCAGGACCAGCTGCATTGAATGAGGGTGCCAATCAATCACTGGAGACCACAACCCTGAAATGACACAGCTGGAAAGCTGCTGAGTATTACAATATCTTTCCCAGAGACCTCCTCTATAATCTCCTCCCTTAAAATCATAAGGACGGATGACCCAGTGCGCTCTTCCTTCCCTTTCCCTTCCCCCACCAGGCACATTACCATTAGCTTCCTCAGTCCCAAGCTCCTAGGGCCCTTTCTTTGCCTTTATAACTTGTTTCCTAAGCCCATTTCTTCCAGGAATTACTTCTCCCACCTCTGTAATTTTACCAAATAAATGTTCTCTTGAAATAATTAATTAATTAATGATGGGAGAAATTACAACATGTTAATATGCTGACGAATGTGGTCCATAATAGAAAGGTAGAGTGGTGATGCAGGAGCATGAGAAGCAATGTTTTCAAATGGCAAGAGGGAACAGAATTTGTTATACAAGTAGAGACTGGCCTTAGATGGAAGCAGACATTAAGGAAGAAAGAAGGCAGAGACCCAAGCAAGGAGGTAGATATGGTGTAGAAGTTTGTAAAATTCTCTTCCTAATGCTACTATTTTCTTAATGAAATGGGAAACAAAGTATTAATTGTCAGTAGCATGAAAAAGGTGGTGTTGGAGGTCATATAAAACACATAATTATTATATTCTTTATAAATTGTGTTCATTTTGAATCTCCACTTAAATTTAAAATTTTGAATGGAAAATGCAAGATACCTAGTAGTGTTCCACAAATAGATTTGTTACTGTGGTAATTAGCTAACTAATATTAAAATAGGAAGAGAGCAAACAGGAGGCCAGACATTGTAAGCAAGCATGGTAATCTGGGCAGCTTCATCAGGAAGCTGCAACTTTACACTCCCTAAGGAACCACAGGTCCATTCCTTGCAAATCACTGGGGGAAGGGACCAGACAAAGGGGAAGATGGGTGCATGCACAGTGAAGTCAGGGTGATGTAGAGAAGGTGCTTGCCTGTCAGTCTAACCTGGAACAAAGATAACTGGGTAGGGGGTGGAGCCACTGCAAACCTGCTAAAATTTGGGAATATATTATCTGTAAAGGAATTCTCTCTCCCTCGTTTTGTTTTTGGTTTTTTTTGTATTTTCTATTGATTACAGAGAGAGGAAGGGAGGGAGAGGTAGAGAGAAAGATAAAAACATCAATGATGAGAGAAGAGTCATTGATTGGCTGCCTCCTGCACGTGCCCTGCTGGGAATCGAGCCCACAACCCAGTCATGTGCCCTGACTGGGAATAGAACCACTATCTCCTGGATCACAGGTCAATGCTCAACCATTGAGCCATGCTGGCTGGGCCTCTCCCGTGTTCTTCTTGCTTCACCCCTGCTTCCTTGCACTTGCCCATGCTCCCTCCACAGACATGTGGCCCTAGAAGTTGAATGGGACTCCACACTCAATGGACTGCAGCTGGGAACACAAGCTAATCTAGCCAGATGCTAGGCTGGACTGTGCAAATATGGAGCAGAAACTCTGGGCACTGGCTTTAATCCTAGCTCTGCTGAAGACAAAATGGGACCTTTTCCATGGGAGGACG